TTGGGACAAAACTAGCAAGACCGTCATTCCTTCTCGTTCATTCGTCCTTCGCAATTTCGAAGATCGCTGCTATTGACACACTAGTGATAAAACCGTTCCTTCTCTCTTTCTCTCCCTTCCTCAGGGCCACGTGTGCCACGTGTGCCGCCGCGTAACCCTTGAACGGCCGAGTTTTACCAGCTGTCAGCGTCCTATCGGACCGAATAACCGTCGACCGTTCATCGACGAGACGATCTCCAGTCCCGCTCTATCAGAGTGGAAATCCGAGCTTCTGGTCGGGTTACCGCGGAACTCTCGTTCCTTCACCTCCGAGGCGTCTCGCCAGGATCTTCCCCGTTGGGACTCACTGGGTCATAAGCCCCCCAAGTCGACCGTGTCGTCGAATTCTGTAAACGACAGGTCCCCAGATCGCGGAACGTTCGAAGCGCCGGCCTTTAACATCCAGCCGAATTTCTGTCTCTCTCTCTCTTTTCGTATACACATAAAATATTATTATCAATATGCATATACCGACGGTATCTTCATTGCAACTTGTTAAACATCGGAGCAACTTAAACCGCAATAGTAAAACTTGCGTAATAATCGTTTGTAGAAATGGTACACGCGGTAAATGTACTCGGTTGTACGTAGTTGCTTACGAGAAACTTGGAGATCAACTTTTTATAGGTCGTGCATTCCTGCATAGGCAACTTGTGTTCTCTCTCTTTCTTTCTTTCTTTGTCGTTTACCGCGAGTTCTCGTGGTTGCATGGTAATTTTTAATTTAATTATATGAATTATCGCGTAGTGACAACGAGACGGATATATAAGAAGAAATGAAGCACTAATAACAAATCTATTAGGTAATTATCCGATATGTCACTTATACGTGACATTTATTATTATATTTAGAAAAGCTGGAACTTATTCCTCTATCGCTTAAATGTTTAATATTTGGCCGCGATAAATGGACTATGCATAATTGAAATAACTATTACATTTCATTCGAAGGATAATATTAATAGATCGATGATAAAGCATTTCCATTCGTTCCCTATACAAACTGTAGAGCAAGAAGGCTATATCGTAGTTTCTAACGAACGTAACAAGGTACTAGAATTTGCATTCAACGCGCTAAAGAGATAAACGAGGCTATCTTATCTGCATAATAGGCGAGAAATGTGGTTACCGATTGTTGTCGCTGTCGCGGAATCGGCGATAAATCTCACGTTATTCTAATCGAATCGTTCAAATATATACAGAACTGGAATGTTATAATCGCTTCTCTTCTCATCGCGCATCGATAAAAGTGGACGCAGTCCCTGAAGATGAAAAAATTGTAAACCCGAAACCGTCCTTGTTGTACAACCTCGCGCGACCACGTGCTTCGGTAAACAAACCAACGTCATCGAACGATGCTGCAGCGCGGCGATGCGTTCCCGGACGCGTTTCGATGACAATTGTGCAACTCCAACAAACTTAAGGGATCGCCGTGACGTCTTCCACGCGAGAATATAAAAATGAATTTTCTTTCGTCGTCGGCGTCGCGACGTCGCGCGAGCGAAAAAGAGTGACGTCACGCCGGGCTAGTTCGTTGGGCTAGGTCGTGGCACTCCTTGCATCCCACCCTCCTTCCGTGCCGCCACCTCAAGCATCGACTTCTCTACTCATCCTCCTCCTCGTCGTCGCCCGCTCCGCTTCGTTCCGCGCCGCGCCGAAAAAAGCAAGGCTCGCAAAAGGACGCCCGGCGTCGCGGCGCTCTTTGGCTGATCAATACCCGCCGCCTCGTACGCGGACGGACGGTCACGCATGTGCACGGTGTGGGCCGCTCTCTTTCTCTTTCTTCCCCTTTTCCGTTTCGGTACCGTTTTCCCACCCTCTCTCTTTTCATCCATCTGTCCTTTTCTTATCATCTTTTTCAACCTCATCCCTTTTCTTTCTCTTCCCAACCCCTCTCTTTTTTCCCAACCCCGACTCACCGTCTTCTCTTTCTCACCCTCGCGCGCGGTCCCTCTTGTTATCTCTCCGTCTTTCATGCGCTCTCGATTTTTCTCCCGCTTCTCTCTCACCGTCGTCCCTCGATTTTTCCTCTCCCTTACGCCACCCGTCCACTATCCTTCTTCCGTTCTTCACCCTCCTCCGCCGGTTCTTCCTACCCCCTCGCTCTACATACCCCCGCGTTCACCTCCGTAGAGAGACGGCCCGATTTTTTCCTCCCGTTTCCTCGGCTCCGACATTTTTTTTTTTCCACCTTTTTTCTCCCCCCTCCAGTGGCTGCCCATGCGCCGCGCCCCCCTTCCCACCCCCGCCATCGGAATACCGCCTCGAGCATCCGCTCCGTCTCCCTCTCCCTCGCACATACGCACGTGATCTCTCTTCCTTCTCTCACCCCCGTCTATCCTCCGCCCTTTTTCTCTTCTCTCGTTCGCTCACACCTCTCTCGCTCTCTCATCCCACCTCCCTCTTTCATTTTTCCCTACCTTACCACCCCCGGCTCACTCTCTCTCTCTCTCCTATCTGTTTGATTTTTTTTTTTTTTTTTTTTTCACGACTACCCGACCACCTACCGACGCCGCGCGTCGGCGTTCTTTTTCTATCGGGACGCTCTTCTCGACCATCGGCTCGACCACGTACACACACACACACACACATTCTCCCGCGTACGCGAGCGCGAGAGGGAGAGACGGTGAGATAAAGAAGGGCGTAAAGGGTGAGTTGGGGGAGGAAAAGGAGAACGGGTGCATGAGAAGAGCCGGCGGTGGGTGGGTGGACGGACGGAGGGTGAAACTGGCTGCAGTGCCTGGATGCGAGCTAAAATGTATTTTTTTTTTTTTTTTTTTTTTCTTCTTTTTCTATATCTTCCCTCCGAGCGAGCCGTGGTAGGTTGGATTACCAATCCCGAGCTGCCTCCGGCACGTTCTTCTCTGTCGAGCACGTAGGGCGAAAAACCTGGACGTAAGGGCTCGTTGCGAGAGAGAGTTTCCCCCGTTGGACACGGCACTTTGGTGTATACGTATCGTTGATACCGATATGGAAATTATCCAGCTGAATTTTAACCGCGCCGCACACGCACTCACATCCACAGAACCGCTAGATTCAATTTGGATTGATCACGTGTACGTCCATTGCTTTTGATATTTCCCAATACCTTCGTAGAACCTGTGTACAACCACATTTTTGCGCACGACGAGATATGGTACTGGATTACTTCTAAATAAGCTTCTAGCTTTTTCTATACGGTTTTGTTTCGTCGCTTTTCGACGAAGATATGTGTAGCTTACGTATATTTATCCGAAGACTCAAGAGTGGGGTCATTGGATCTATTACAGAACTGTCATTGTGCAATTTACGTCTTTTTCTTATTTATTTTCCTAACGTAACACGACGACATTTCGTGCAAGACGGGAGACTGATTTTCTCTTTGTATTTATGTCGTAATGCGTGTATTCGTTATTGGTGAAACATTATTTGGAAAAAAATTTCCATTATTTGTTCAACAAATTGTAAAGCAAACTCATTAACGAGAATCTCGCTTCGTATTATTCATTATCCGCGTTCGGTGGGGGATTCTGATTTTAAATAAAGCCTCGCAACTGTCATTACAGAACATGTGGTAACACACGGTTGGATTAAGGGATGGGATTAACCCCTACCATTTCCCCTACACAGTCGCTAAAGTCGATTGCTCCGTCTTCAACCTACTCCGACTTTCATGGTTAGTTCCAGTTTAAAATAGACACAAATCGTGTCCCACAGACTTCCGTCACAGAACGTATCCCTTCTGGCCCACGTTATGATCTCCGTGAATGCGGATTTTCCTCGGGCGTCATCGACGGTCCGTCATCCACCCTTGGTCCAGAGACGCTCGTATCTTCGTCCTATCCTCCGCTTACGGGATTCCGACAGAATCGGATCGTTTGACGAGCCACCTGTAGCGCGAAGGGCTACTACTAACCCTTCTTCAGGGCACGATTTTTGTCGCCTTCTCGGGCAAGACTGGGTTCATATCGTCTTCTCTCTATATGCAATCTCTAGCTCCTTGATCTTCGATTACATTACGAAGCTGTCTCGTAAAAACGATCCGATAACTTTCTTCATATTTTTATTAATATAAAATATTTCGAGACATTTTTATATTAAATATTTATTATTAGATAAATATGTAGATATGTACATATATATTTAAATACGTTAAATATATTTTATATATAATAACGATACGTATGACAGAAATATTTTTCGCGATGCACACTTTTGAAGTACTTTCTTAATATATATATCACCGAATACTCTTTCATATGAAAAAAAATTGATATATTTTGTGGGAGCACACATTATTTCTATTACGATTCCGAGGATATATAATATTTTATATTTTAGAAACTCGTATGGAAACTCCGGATAGAAACTCGGAAGAAAGTAGTTGGAACTTTCGGTTTACGAGGCTCAGTCCGTCCCGAATTCTCGTAGTACGCGACCTGGCGCGAGCTTTGTCGAGGTGCGGAAGGTCATGCCGGGGGATGGATGTGGTTTAGAGGGTCGTGAGAAGGGAAATGGGGTCATCCTTCGATGGCTCTTCTGTGGTCGCTCTATGCGTGCCATTGAACCATCATCGCAAGGTGGCGCGGACACGATTAATCCCGCGGAAGCACGCTTCTGAAGTTTCCGAATGTTAATTAGCAAAACCTCGAGTTAATTATAATCAACAGAATAGGGCACGCATATGTATATCATCACGAAGAACTTGTGTTTCTTCACACTGATATCAAATGTATATTTAACGCAAAATTAAAAATTAAAAAAATATATATTATATATATATACATATATATTTATATCTTTAATTCATTTCGAAGACAATAAATGAGAAAATATATAAAAAGTACTAAAATAAATTTACAAAGATCTCTTTTTTTCGTTCTACAAATTTTAAATGAATACTAAACAATTGAAAAGTTCAGCTACGTTGAAGACGTAGCGTGAAAACTAATAATGATACTCTCTCTTTTTTATTTGTTGCAGCAATGCGCCCCGCACGACAAGGAAAGCGACTATTGGGGAGGCAGCCGAGGCGCGAAACAAGGTTACGAGGTGAGACAACCCGCTTCGAAATATTTTAGTAGTCTATTTCATGTATGGCCGTCGTGCTAATTCTACTTGGTGAAGCGCAGCACTTTCTGTTGCAGGCGAAAATGAACGCGGATCACGGTCAGCTGCAGAAAGGTGAGTTGTTATGATTTTAATACATTCTATATTTTTACGTAGTCTGTCATTTGACGTCTTTGCTTTATTTTTAAACTAATATATTCATCAAATCCATCAACTATAATCCATTAAGGCTAAACTATATTTATAAATTACTGACGCAAAACCAGAACAATATAATATTAATATTTATAAATCAGACTATTTCATCCAATCTAATGTAAAGGTTAATGAAGCCTTTCTTGCGTCAGTAACTTTGCTATTAAATATATGCATATATAAATAACGAAACATTATATTTTTTTCAATCGATTTTGTGAATTTTATTTTTATACGCAATTAATTGGAAGTTTTTTTTTAAATAGTTGCTATTAAACGTTCTCGAAAAAACTGTAAAAATATATAATGCTTAATCCAAGAAAAAAAAGATCCAAAGAACAAAAGTGTTGAAGACATAATTTATAGTAAAATCAAAGAAAATACACGATTAAATAAAATGAATAACGCTTGGAACACTTCGATGTATCATCGTGAACCGCGTCGGAGATCAAGGACTTGTTTACTAGAAAAATTATTGGGATCATCGTAGGCAGAGTTAGGTCATGCAAAGTTTCAACCGAGACTTCGTCGAGGACGTCTTGGCGTCGCGACTTTGCGAGTCAGATGCAAACACTTCCTAAGATCTAACCGTTGGTCCGGGAACCGGTTATGACTGCATGCGTGACGTAAGATTACCGATTAGGAGCGAAAGAAAAAGTCGGAGAAAAAGAGTGGGGACACTGCACCAAACGAGAAAAAAAAGCACGTATACGAACGTGAATTTATCATCAAGCTGAGATATAGAGTGTGCACTCGTGAACATTTTTTTTTTTTTACGTTTAGAATTTTATTTTTCTTTTTCTGACATCCTCTAATTCAGCCTCTCGACGAGTCTTTCTCTTCTTCCTTGAAACTTGAATTTCAGGACTGTTTTTATTTAAATATAAGATGCAGCTTGTGTATATAAAAATAGACAGACAGATAAATGGACTGACGCCTTCTCTTATAATATACACAAGTGTATTCGAAAATTCTGCGCATCTCCATTGCACAAAGTGAGCACATCTATAATTTTGAAGTGGACCTTACATGAATTATAAAAAGGATTTTAAATTCTAATATCGATTTAAAACGCAAAAATGGTAAAAATATCAATTTAATTTAATATTAATTTGATATGATGTCAATTTAATTTAATTTGCCTTTATATCTTTTTAAAATTTTAAAAGAAGTGCGCTTCTATAATCCAATCGATTTTAGAATATATGATAAGATACAAGAAAATTAGAGATATATATATATATATATATATATATATAAAATCGGGAGCGTCTAGCGGTAAGGGAAATTTCGAAAACCGGGTATTGTCAGGGAATTTGATAAATCTGGAATTGTCAGGGAAAAGTCGGGAAATTTTACTAGTTGTCTGGATTTTTTCATATTATTCTACATATACAATAAATATAACTTTTTCTTAACTCCCAGTAGGCTAATTTTCCGTGTTGTTAAAAATCGATTCATCTATTCGTATTCGTTAATTTATATTTTCATCGTCGTGTTATTTTATTTCAATGTATTATATACATATTTCAAAATATATTATAACATTGCTCAAAAATTATAATATTGTTCAAGAACTTTATTTTAATTTATTTTTTATTAAAAATTAATACATTAATTTTTTTTATTAAAAATATTTTATGTAAAAGTTTCGTTGTGATATTAGATACCATTAAATATATTAAAATACATGTATTATTATTTGTCGAAATATATTAAAAATAAATTTTGGAAAATCTGAAAAAATCAGGGAATTTTTTATTGAGTCTGCTGGACACCCTGGTGTATATAATTATATGGTGTATATAATTTTATTATCTATAAAAATTTATAATATCAATTTTGTTACGTGACAAGGAGCGTTATCGAGCAATTTTGATAACAATCTGATCCCGGGTGAGCCGAAAATCCGTTTCTTGTTTTCTCCTCCTTGTTAGGAAGGATTAAGCAATCGTTCGTAAAAGGAGAGGCACGCTTCGATCCCTGTTTTTCACTGCCAATGGCACGCGAGCCAACTAGCCTAGATTAGCCATTTACGAGATAAGTCCGCCACCCTTCCATTCTCGTCAGGATCGACGGACTCTCGTCAGTGATTCATGCCGTAGAGAAACGCAAACCTGTTAGGGAAAAAAAGTTGCCCGACCACCTCCTTCGATATCGTCCTATAATTTGATGCATGTTCTGCGCGACCAATATTATTGCGACACTATTTTTGCAACACACGTCTGACACGCGTCATCCTCCAAGTTATGCTATTCAGGCAGCGTTGAAAATTTTGCTCTTATTAGACGCGAAATTATTTACTTTTTTACTTATCGCTCTTTATGACGAAATTCGAAAAATATTATAGTAATAGAAATAAACGAGAATTTTATTTTTATTATTTTTTTTAAATAATTGTACACTTTTATCAAGCACATTAATAATGTACGTAATCTTTATTCTAACTGTTCGTGGACTCGAATTCACATCGATCCAACGTTAGCCGCATGCGAGATCATTATTACATCGCGTGTCTCAAATCCAAATTTCTCTTTCATCGGCAGAATATTTTTCGCGCTTCGTGCCCATCGGGCCCGAGACGTAGACGGGCCCTAAAATTAGCCGCCGGCCTGGCAATTGCGCAAAGATCCTGGACTATTGCTGTGCGTTAATGCACAGATCGCATGACCGAAATTTCGGGCCCCGCGAAGAGAGTCGGAGAAGGAAGATGTGTGGGACGACGAGAGAGCCTCAAGGCCCCCCTTTACGCGCTCGTCTCATTATCGTATTCGCTCGTCGAGTAAGTAATGCGAGTCGCTCGTTTGGAAATTCCTCGTCGGCAGCCTCCAGGACATCTGTCGCTGACTTGGAAACAACGTAAATAATGAGGAGTGTGTCGCAACACGCATGATTTATTCGACCAGCGAATATCTGTATTTTAGAATCGAATTAGAAGTGACGTCAAAATGGACAGATGCATTTTTTCTTCGTCTTATTTATTATCGAAATAATTCATGTATGCAATATCTTTAATAAAGACAGCGTAAAGATCTTTATCGATTTGTTGGAGATTGATTTATAATTTTTTTTTTTTTAGTTATTTCATTATTTTTATTTATAATATTTATTTAATACTAGATTTAAACTTCTCTTTAAAGAAATGACTTATTAGAAACATGACTTTCAAGTGCTCTTAGTTAAAAGCTAAATTAATTGTTATGGAAGAGTTAGGAGAAGATTGTGCCCTCGTTGCATCTAGACGTCTTTTCTCTCCTTCGAAATATTAACGCGCTTCCATAGTGAATGACTCTAATGATCATCGAGTATCTCACATGGATGACCAAATTGTGAGACGGCAATTTTCTTCACTCCCGATTTGAAACGACTCGCCTGACGTAAGAGAATATATTTAATGCAACACGCAGCTTTCACTCGCCTATGATTTCTTGATTATTCTGTAATTATTGAGAAATAATTTCCTACCTGAAAATCTCGTTGGGGAAACGATCGAATTAGTCGCTAATCTTAACGGGATCATAAAGCGACTTGGACTTCCGTTTCTCGAAGACGGATTGATGGAATTTTCTACAATATTAAGATTAAGAGTATTTTCGTAACAATTTTCTCGTCCCCTGGTGTATTATTTTGCAATATATAAATTGTTAAAATATTTTTCCGCGCACAAATACTATTCTTCTTTAATAACGATTGCTCTCTATCTACTTTCCTACTCGCAAACTCCTATTTCTTCTCGTACGTGCAAATATACGAGGAAACGGAGTACCGTTTATGTTCGAAGGGGTAGAATCGCCTCGTAAACAGGTCGATCCGACGTTTCCACGTAAACAGTCATGCACAGAAATCGGACCGCGTGTTCTGTCAAATGTGTGTGTGTGTGTGTGTATGTAGATGAGCACGTGACATCTCATTCTTCAAGTTTCTTTAAAGCGACGCAGTCCTTTATTCCACAATAATAGTAATGTATTAATGTCATACGAAAACTTGACTTATGACTTTACTTTATTAACATCGAGGAAAGACGGAAGACACGAAGAATTATTCTTCCATTGTTAGTAAAATAACATTTCGAGAAAAGTTAATTTATGAGAAAAGAATGAAAAGTAATGGACAATCGAAATCTATATATATATATATGTATAATTATGCTTTTCGATTAAATGATAATAATTGTCGCAAAGAATAGCGGTCGGAAGGAAGAATAATTTCGAAACGTATAATGCATACATAGCTGCGGAATATTGAGGGATCTCCAAAAATTGTGATATTTTACGAATAAGCGGGGAGATTCAATTAGTCCCATTTATTCCCGGTACGGAATCAAAGCACGTTGTGCAAATGCAGGACGAGAAACGTGTCGGAACGCGGCTGGAACTCGGTTACAACGTGCTCCCGACACGGGTTACAACGTGTCGAAGAGTTCGAGGTCAATTAAAAGTTGGAGTCTTCCGTGTCCATGGAGAGCAGGGAAGAAAGGGAGACGAACGGGAGGAGAAAAAGGGTAGCTCTACGCGTGGGTGCGAATTCTTAGAAAAGATGGTCATCTCTCGTCTAGCTGCCATATTTTACGGTTTTTTTTTATTCGGAGCAAAAAGTTCACCGACAATCAAAATAGTCCTTTCCGGTCACTGCCAGACGACTTTTGCCTTGCGAGGCCCTTCAGAAGGCCCGCGCTTTCTCTATGTTAGACAATGTCGATGATCCTGTATAGGCAACTCAGGATACTCGATATATTTTGTATCAAAAATATATTTAATTATACGTGTCGATTAATTTAATTAGATATATCGATTGATTTAACGATGGTTTATTGTAGAATTGATGAGAAAGCGAATTATTTCTCATGAAATTCAGATTAGATAACGTTACTCATTTCCGTTTCTAAAGGTTACTTTTTTAAAAGCCTTCCATTTACAATG